AATCCCATGTATTAAGAAAAATGACCTGTGAGGATAGAATACTGATGTTGTTGCTTTCACGGTGGATGTGGATCACATGTCACTTCATGGTACCCGAGGTGCTGCTCAACCAGACGGCTGGGTCTTTATCCTAGGATACGGGAAGCCTCAGATCGGCATCCCCCGTAATGAAGAGCTCTACTGTAAGCCCAGAGTAAGCCTGCCGCTAGATTCTAGGTCTCCTTTCAGCAGTCAGGTTTCTAGGCCAAGTGTGAATCAGTGCTTCAGCATCCGAGGTTAAATAAAGAAGCGGGGCTTCAATCTGTGCATCTCTGCTGTTCTAAGTATTTGAGTGTATTTTTTATTCATAGTAAAACCCCCAATCCGTGGGCAGCGGCACACTGTGTCTGTGACCCCAGCTAAAAGAATGCAGAGCAGGGGGGCATGGGGGCCCCATCACACTGAAGGCCACAAAGATGCGTCAGCAAGCCTGTCAGTCGCCCCGCGATCTGCCTCCATTCACTTGGTCACAAAACAGCAGCCATTCAATTAACAATGTTCTGTTGTTGAAATTCTGATTGAAAACGTCTTTATGAGGAAAACAAATCTAGTTAGGAGGGCTTCTCAATGGTTTATTTATTGATTCATGTTTGTCTTTTTCTTAGCCAACGAATCAGCTTCCTCAAGAGCCATTTTGGACGCATCACTGCAGTGATTAGCATAGGCTCTTTGTATTCAATTTTTTTTATCATATTTAAAGCTCTGCAAATGAAAACACTGTATCTGAGTCACGTTGATTAGTGGGAGAGAATTGTCTGGCTGATGGCACCACGACATGCCGGAGTGATTAGAGGGACTCGCAATATCCATCCGGAACATTCTAATCAGATGGAACGTAAATGGAGCCGTCACTCACATGAAGACGCATTTCAGTTCCTGCAGGCAAACAAATTCACCGCCAGCTCATAATAATTTCATTGCATCAGTTCAGGCCACTGATGAAGCTCAGAATGTAATTAAGTGGGATTTGATTTGGAATTGTGCATGAACTGGTAATCAAACTACCTGAAACGGTTGCCGTTTGAGGCGCACTGATAGGTCTACTCACGTGTCAATCAGAGAGACACAGTCTCTCTTCCTGTTTTGGTTCACTTTACGTTGAGCGCCAAATATATCATGAAAATAAGTATATTTCAGGTCCCAGGTTTCTGTAGAGGGGAATATTCTACAAAGACCATTAAAGATATTCCATAAAGACCAATCATATTTCTGTTTGTTGCTTTACCAGCAAACACTGGAATTCAGTGACCACTCTCCCTCGGTGTCCTGCTAACTTGACTTCGCTCCACGACTCTGTTTCCTGTTTGGCAAACCGGACGCCTGCATGGGCTTCACCAGGCCGCAGACGGGCGCCGATTGGCTGCATCCACCAGCTCGGCTGACAGCAGACTCCTGCATTCCGACTCGCCGCAACTGATCGTGCTGAATGCGGCAGGACAAGGGACGCAGCTTCTGGGCCCCTTGAGAAAATGCCCCCCCCCAATAAAAATTCCTAATTGTACATATTCAAAGGACCCTGTAAGCAGTGCTGTGCCCCACTTAATGAGGGGTGGGTGCTCGAATGGGGGGGGGGGGGGG